ATTAGCCAAGTACCGAGGTCGGTTATAAAGAACCGGAGCCCCACCAAATTTCTCGGACTCCTATAAGAATTCGTTAAAGTCACCCCCACATAACCAAGGAATATCCATAGGCTGGAAAAAGGAATTCATCCAATTCCAAAAGGTTGCCTTCTCACCACGATACGAAGTGCCATAAACACCCGTCACCCTCATCCACCTAACAACACCAACTTCCCTGACCTTAGCATCGATGATATGCTTGGAAGAGAAAACTATTTGGACCTCAAACGAGTGTTCCCACCAAAGACTGAGACCCCCTGCCCTACCAATCAGTGAAACATTAAAACCATCCACGAAACCCATCCTTCTACGCACCCCATTGACTCTATGATCCTTCATTTTTATTTCGGAGAGAAAGATCATAGAGGGTCTATATTTTCTAATAAGCCCGTGTAAAGCCCGAACTGCCGTGTCCGACCCAAGACCACGGCAGTTCCAGAATAAGTGCGTCATGGTGAACTTGCGGCTGTATCAGGCCAGCCGCCACCGCCTTGGGAATTGTTCCCCTGCTCACTGAATTTGCTTCTCTTGTGATAAGGTTGGATGTCACTTAGTTCCGCACCCCTTTTCATATTACGACCATCGTTCCTTTCCCCTCCAATCTATTCTATAACCACATTAGAATTGCCTCCAATATGCCTTTGCAAAGCACTATCAGCTGACATTGAGAGGCCCGCCTTTGGACCACCCATGCTGGAATGGCGAATTAACATATGGTGGACACCAGGGAAGGTCCAGTTCGATATATTATGCGTGGATCCCTCACCCAGATGATTGAATCTGAATCTCCTTTTCCATCCCCTTTTCAACATTTGGGTAAGGTCAGAGAGTTCCTTCTGCCCAAGTCTACTATCTTGTAACCCCCTTCCTGTAGACGCTGATGAACTCGGCACTGGTGATCTCCTGCCTGCACGCGCCACACCTGCTTGTCGTCTCTCCCCCATTCCCATAGGCAACGATTTATGATTAACTATCATCTCACGAATAGGAGCCTCCTTGGTCCACTCACCAAATCCCGCAGCCCCTCATTTAGATTGTTCATAAGAACATTGATAGAAGCATATTTATGCGCCTTAGTTAGTTAGTTCTTATGCATTTATGTTGTGTTTTCTTAGTTAAAGTTAGTCTTTTAAGCTAGTTTCATGTGTTTTCAGGTTTTAGAGACAAAGTGAGCAAAAGGATGCAATTTGGAGCGTTTTGGAGCAAAATTGGGCTAAAATGGCGTTCATGCACATGAAGCACAAGGGATGGACGAATTTGAGGGATTGATGAAGCTAGGAAGACGTTTCAAAGTTGAAGAATTGAAGATACAAAGTTTCCTAGTTGATGTAGGAAATGGCTTACATGAAGGATTCCTAAACGAAGAAGGATTCCTAATCAATGTAGGAGTCCTAATTGAAGATGGATTCCTAGACACATGAAGTTTCCTACTCAAGCAAGGTTTCCTACATGAAGAAGAAGAATTAAAGTCAAAGAATCAGCTCAAGATAAGGATCTTATCCAAAACCTCATCCATAACCTTATTTTAGCTTATCTTATCCAAACAAACCTTATCCTATCCTATCTTATCCTTATCCTAAACTATCCACATTCCAGCCACTTAGGAGGGTTTCTAATTAGATTAGGATGCTTAAAATGAGATTTCTAGAAACCTTATCCCTTCCTATCTTTGTGCCGCACCTTATCTCCCAATTCCTTTGGGTTTTTGACTTGTTTTCCTTGTAGGATTGTATGTTATTATCCTATGCAGTTTAGGTCTTTAAAACCTTGTCCTTGGCTATCGAGGAGATGGGATTTTCAGCCTATATATACAACCCATTGCCGCACCCTTTCATTCACCATCCTCTACCATATTTTCACTACACCATTCACCCATAAACCCCTCTTGTGCCGTGAGTTTGCAAGGAGAAGAAGGAAGACAACTTGGAGCCGTGCATGCCATTCAAGGAGCTTGGATTGTGGAGCGATTCTAGGTGTTTTCTATCTTTGTTTTAATGTTTAAATTTATTTATCTTTGTTTATTTGCGAACATGAGGAACTAATTTATTTATAGTTAGAGGGGAATTCAAAGCCATGATCATATGTTTTATATGACTTGATTTCTTCCAATTATGATTTCATAAATCGTGAATGTGGTTTACTTATCTATTTGATTGATAACATGTTTATGTATGTTGATTGAGGGTCGACACTTAGTTTGCATGCATGAATTTGATGCTAGAGTATAAGGGAATTTCACCTAATCGTTATTAACTTATATTCATAAGTAGTAAAAGTCGCTAGTCACGATTGTGTTAAGTAAATCCTAGGCAAGAGTAACATGCGTATCCCATAGTTATGAATGCCTCGTCAATGCTTATGATTTCCATTGAACTTAATGATCTTTGATATGTGTCTCTATCATGCGTATTCCATAGTTAGGGTCCTTGATAAGAATAATTTGGTTGTAATGCGTATCCCATTCAATTCAATGAATCTAGGGAAATCTGAGAGTTAATTGGTCAATCTAGTTAATTTGGGGCATTGTCATTCATGGTTTATTGAAAGAGTAATTGGAAATCGAGTCGTATGCATATGTTTCATGTGTGGAGAAGGAACCCTCTAACTAGCCTTTCCTCATTCTATTTCATCAAAATCGTTTTCATTAAAGTTTGTTTTTGAAGTTTATGTTTTAAAGTCCAATTTCGTCAAAACCAATCCCTTTACTTTTAAATCTTGTTTTTAGAGTCAAAACGTGTTTTCTTTAAGTCTTTTGAGTCTTTGAAGTTCTATTTTCGTCCAAATCACTTGTTAGGTCTAGAATTGAGTCTTTTTGATTGTTTCTTGCTGTTTTTAGTGTTTTAAGTTAGTTTTGAGTCTATAGAGTCTAGTTTAGTGTTTTTGAGTCTTATTTGTGTTGATTAGCATCCCTAGTTAATCCCCGGTTTAGAACGATCCCTACTTGCATCATTACTACAATTGTCATCAATAGGGTTTAATTTGTGTGTCAAGTTAATTTTCACATCAAATTTTGGCGCCGTTGTCGGGGATTAGCAAAATTGCTAATCCCCCTTTCTTTCTTTTTCATGTCTTTTGTTTTTCCTTTCTGATTTTGTTTTGTTTATTTTACTTTTGATATTTGATTTAGTTTTCTTTCTTTGATTTCAGGTTCTAGAGAAGTAAGACATGGATTTTGCTAACATTCAAGCTCAATTGGCGAATCTTACTTCTCAATTGTCACAGATTGCCGGAAGGACTACAATGCAAAGTGTCCCTACATTTGGTGTGTCTTATGGGCACGAATATCAAGCTCATCAACATCCTCAATTCATTGTGAACGAAGATGCTTGGGGTTATCAAGGCTATGATCAACCAAGCAACAACATGTTTTCCAACACTTACAATTCGGCTTGGAGAGATCATTCAAATTATATGTGGGGGGAACCTCAACAATTCCAACAAGATGGATATTGGCAGTAAGAGGAGGAGTTCTATTCAAGACCTTTGCAATATGCTCAATCAAACTCAGGTTCGTCAATAAATTATAATCAAATTCTTAATGAATTAAATTGTTTGGTGCAGGGCTCACAAAATCAAGCCAAGGAGGCTCAACAAGATGCATATTGGCAGCCATATGAGGAGTTCTACACCACACCTATACAACCACCACCGCATACCCCACAACAATTCTAATCAAATTCAAGTATGTCCATGGATAGTGATCAAATTCTTCAAGTACTAACCTCTTTGACGCAGGACCAACAAAATCAAGACAAGAAGTTGGATAAATTGAAGAGTCAAATGGGAGAGATTATGGAATTCATGGTACAAATTCAAGAGCAAAGTGAACTCTCCAACTCAACTGTTGAAAATTCGAAGGAAGATTTTGAAATCCACGATGCTATCACTTTGGGAAGTGCTATGGAGTTGGAGCTGGCCTAAAAACATCCAAACATAGCCTAGAAGTGGATGAGGAGCTGCTGATTAAGGAGGAGGAAGCAGACATACACACGGCAAGGGTAGAACAACCCTTGCCGCAGCCCCTTAAGCCCTCTAACCCACCCACCACAAGTAAGGACGTCCTAATTTCATTTCATTCTAATGTTATTCCTCCGAATGTCCCTTTTCTTAGCAGGTTTTTGATTCCCAAGAAAGAAGAGAGTGAAAAAGACATCGTGGAAGCCTTCCCAAAGGTGCAAAATGATATTCCAATTCTTGGCACACCCACTCAAGTACCAGATTGTGTTGAAGTGTTCAAAGAACCTTGTTCACCATAAAGAAGGAGTCAAGATAAAGAAGTGGCTGGAGAATTTCAAGAATTCATTAAAGAGGATGTATTTGAAGTAACAAAATCCAAAGAAGTTGAGTTTGATGATACGGGACAAATCACAACCATCGTAGTAAATCTGGCCAAATTCAAAGTCCCTGAAACTTTCACAGAAGTGGTGTTTGTCATTGCGTTCATGTTGGAGCAAACAGGTAAGCCACCTCCTCGAAATTCAATTTCGTTTTCTCCTAACATGCTGTTGATGATTCAGGCACCCACGTTAGAATTTAAACCATTGCCGGATCATTTCAAGTATCACCGTCCATTCAAAGATCCATTCCATGCCATGGCCACCAATGGAGCTTAATTGGAGGTATCGTCCGGCTGGAAGACATTAAAGCAAGCGCTTCTTGGGAGGCAACCCATGCGTTCAAATAAAGAAGACCTAGGAAGCTCCGGCATCATAATCAGATTTGCGTTTCTAGACCCTACTCTTTATTGCTTTTACTTTGCCTTATTTGTCATGTTTGCTAGTTGTGTTATTTGCTTGTTTTTTTGTGAGTCTATGTTTGAAACATTGAGGACAATGTTTGGTTTAAGTGTGGGGGGGTAAACAAAGTGTTTTTATGTCAAAATTCGTAGGGTTTTACCACCTAACATTTCAAAGGTTGTTTTTCATTGTTTTTGAGTGTTTTTAGAATGTTTTGATGTGTTTTTATGTAGCTTTAGACTGTTCATAGGAACATTCATTCATATTATGTCCAATTCGACCGCACCTATAGCAGAAATCCTGCAGCCGTTCATAACGAAACTCTACCCAGATATCCTTATCCTCATCCCTTGGCAACCAGCAGCCTGTAATCAGGGACTCTTGTGTGTTGACAATGATTCTCACTCTTAAGAAACCCCGAGCCTTGGCCAGATTCTCTACCTCCACAAATTCACCGATTTCCTTCGCAAGACGCTGGACGTTTGCCACTGATATGAGACAAGGGGGGACCCCTATGATCTGAACCCAAAAAGGAACCCTCGCCACCTCAATTTCCTCCAGCGCCATCTCCTTTGGCCATCTTTTGATTGAGAAGTTCTGTTTCATTACAGCCCAGGGTACCTGACTAAGAATCTTTCCCGCTGTGCTTTCATCTTGGACGGTAATGATGTACAGATTGTCCTTGACCCACTTGATATCCACCTCTCCAAGATCTTTCCAAGAGGATCTAAGTATATTTCGTACACCCCACTTGTTTAGATTTTTGTTAACCAAAGCCGCTCCAACCAACGCAATCCCCTGTTCCATGGTCGACAAGTCCATGCCTTTTTCAAGGTGGACCACCAAGTCATACATCCTGGTTAGCCATGAATTCCTCCCAATAGCAGGTTCCGTTGACAATTTTAACAAATATGTGATAACGAAAGGTCGTTAGGGCCCTCCTTAGATGCCTTCCTGTTTTGTTTTCTCCTCCCCAAATTTCCTGAGTTATAAACGCCAATAATACCCATAAAATTGGGGGTGGGAAATACCTTACCTCTGTGCCCTTTGTCATAAAGCTCGAAACTGCTTGGTAGGTGAGATGGGTATTGCTCGCCAAATAGCAATGAAAGATGGATTGGGTAGAGGATTTAATTCCCCCCAATCTATCGGATCAGCAATTCAAAGCTTTACCCCCAAGATCAGAGCTTTACCTGTACATTCCACTGTTGAGATCTAGGGTTGGCATCATCAATATTCCTCCACATCAATATTAGCGATAAAAGGTAGGTCCACTTGAAACCTCCCACCGGCCGCAATTAAGATGAGTTCCTACAACGGAGAGAAAGGAAACATTCACAGAGGAGTGGCTCTCACAGCGGAGAGAAAGGGTTGTTTGAGTCGGTCCGTGAGTTTTTGTTGAAAATATATATTGTCAAAGATCCAATGGGTTCGAAATTTGTACCCCTAATTTCCATTCTTGTGCTTCTTCTTCCTACACTGTCCATGGCAAAAGAGTTCGTCGTCGGAGATACACACATTGTGAAAGTTCATTGTGATTATTTTTTACGGAAAGTAGCAATGACGAGTATAAAAACATATATCCGACTTATTCTGCTTTATACCTAATATTCGAGAGGTTCTTGGGTAAGGAAACTGGGTCAGAGGATTGTGAAAGGGGGGAGAAACCAAAAATGGGTCAGTGTAGCATGACAAATCAGATAGACTAGAGTAAGGTTTTTTGTGTCTAGATCTGCACGGACACATGATCTAGTTATCGAACTCCATAATTTCTTGTACCATTAGTAGTCCCATAGGTTAAGTGAATATGGGCACAAATAAAAGAGAAGAGTACGAATGAGCTCATTTGTATACACATGGGTAAGTTCAATCTTAACACACCCTAGAACAAATTTAAATAACAAGTGACTTTTAATTAATGCTTCTCAACAACATGCGTAGATGGCAAGTGTTTCAGGATTACATAACCTCCAACAGCCACGCCCACAGCAACAAGTGCAATTGATCCGAGGATTCCTCTTTTGCCGATTTTCAGCCTGAAAAGCTTACCGTTGTAGACAAATAGATCAGACTTGTCGTCGGAATTCGAAATCATCAATGGTTCCTGTTAAAATGCATGAAATAAACATGTTGGAATAATGGTGAAATTAGGCTAGTCAACTTTCTTGTTCAAAGTTAGGCAAGTTAGGTTAGTCAAGCAAGATAGGTAAGTTAGGCAAAATTAGGCTTATGATCTTTTTCTTCCCTATATATATGTTTCATCTTGTAATTGTTTCTTCAAGCAAATATACATCAAAATTCAATATGGTATCAGAGCTGTGATCTGGGAAAAATCACAAAACACAGCTCTAAAGCAGCCACGAGGTCAACCATTCTAGGCATGGCCTCTCATTCAAAATGGGAAAATCCCAACCACCCGCTCTATCTCCACCACTTGGATCAACCTGGTGCAATCCTCGTACCACAACCATTGGTGGAAGACAACTACAACACATGGGTTCAATCCATGAGTATGGCCTTAACGGTCAAGAACAAACTTGGTTTTGTTGATGGAACGATCAACAAACCAAGTGAGGATAATTTTGAGAAGCTGCAGCAATGGAATCGCTGCAACAACTTGGTCAAGACATGGCTACTAGGCTCCATGTCAAAGGAGATTTCAGGGAGTGTCATCAACTACAAGGATGCTCGACAAATGTGGACCGATCTGCATGAGAGGTTCTCACATGTGAATATAGTTCAGCTGTTCCATGTTGAGAACGAGATCCATGATTGCGTCCAAAGCAATATGAGTGTAAGTTCTTACTTCACTAAACTTAAAAGTTTATGGGATGAACGTGATACTTTGTGTTCCATTCCAGCATGCAGTTGTGGAACAAAGAATGAGATGAACTCATATGTTGAAACTCAGAAAACCATGAAGTTCCTTATGGGACTGAACGAATCGTATAATACGGTTCGAAGCAATACTCTTCTTCTCGAACCACTGCCTACGGTGAACAAGGCATATGCGTTGGTCCTTCGACATGAACGCCAGGCAGAGGTTTCCAATGGGAAAAGCACACAACTAGATTCTGTTGTCTTTGCAGTGAAGAATCTGTCGCGAGAACCTACACCCGAAGACAAGGAGATGCGATGTGGAAAGTGCAATAAAACCAATCACATCACCAAAAATTGTCGTGCACATCTCAAGTGCACTTTTTGCGGATGGAAAGGCCACACCTTCGATTTCTGTCGAAAACGGAAAGCAGCCACAGAGACCGAATCCAATCGTCTATTTTCTTCAAAGGGGAATCAAGTTTCACAAAGTAACAAGCAAGAGACAGTGCCTAATTTCCCGTTCTCTCAGGAGGACTGCAAGCAAATCCTTCAGATGTTGAACAAGAACAAATCATCATTTGCCAATCAAGTCAGTAATCTTCCTAGTCATGAAGAACTTTCAGGTAAAGCCTTCTCTTTTTCATGTAAAGGAACCAAAAGTATTTGGATCCTGGACAGTGGTGCCACGGATCACATAGTTTGCAGTCCTAGTCTCCTTACACACTCACGAGCTGTTGAAAATCATACAGTTGAACTGCCAAATGGTTCCGTTGCCAAAGTCACTCACATTGGACAAGTTGTTTTCTTTCATAATCTTATCCTTGAAAATGTCCTATGTGTGCCGTTCTTTAGGTTGAATTTAATATCTATCAGTAAACTAGCCTATGATTCCTTATATGTCACCATTTTCTTTACCCAATTTTGTGTCATTCAGGACCTTCGCTCGGGGAAGATGATTGGGACAGGAACTGAAAGGGATGGACTTTACTACCTCGACCCATCAAAGAAAGGAACATGCAACAATATTCAAACCGTCTCACCAAAGCTTTGGCACCAACGCCTAGGACACCCATCTCATAAAGTCACTTCGTTATTACCTTTATTTAACAATAAGGCTTGTGATTTAGAAAAATGTTTAATTTGCCCATTGGCCAAACAAACAAGATCACCCTTTCCTTTGAGCTCTATTTCTACCAAATCATGTTTTGAATTATTGCATATTGATATTTGGGGTGGTTATCAAGTTGCTTCTATTTCAGGTGCCAAGTATTTCCTTACCATCGTAGATGACTACACTAGAAGCACTTGGGTTTATTTGATGAAACATAAATCTGACACAAAAGACATTTTAGTCGGATTCACTCAAATGATTGAGACTCAATTCAATACCAGAGTTCAAATCATACGAAGTGACAATGGCCCTGAGTTTAAGCCTGAGCAATTTTATGCTCTCAAAGGCATCATACATCAATCTAGTTGTGTCAACACACCACAACAAAATGGTGTTGCCGAACGTAAACACCGGCATTTGCTCAATGTTGCTCGGGCTTTGCTCTTTCAAGCTTGTTTGCCAAAACGTTTTTGAGGGGATGCAATCTTAACCTCAGCCTACCTCATCAATAGAACACCCACTCCACTTCTCGAAGGTAAAACACCTTACGAAAAACTGTTTCACAAAGCACCTAACTATTCCCATTTAAAGGTTTTCGGTAGTTTATGTTTTGCTTCTACACACGCCCAAAGGCCTTCTAAATTCGACCCCCGTGCAATCCAATGCATTTTTCTTGGGTATCCTTATGGTCAAAAGGGTTATAAATTGTTTAATATAAAACACAATAAGACTTTTGTTTCTAGGGATGTTGTTTTTTTTGAAGATCATTTTCCATTCCAAAATCATACCACTTCCGCTGCCCCGTCTCCATCAAACATTACACCCTTACCCATCACGTTTGACTTGACCTCTCACATTGAGTCGCACTCAAGCCTTGCACCCGAAGAAATAAACATCACCTCTCCCACACTTGCCGACATCACCCCACTCTCATCTCCTTTACCTACTACAACTCCACCACCAGATACCTTATCAACACCTTCACATACCCTACACTCTTCACCACCTCCAACCACTCCATCACCAGACCAACCACCTCCACTCCGTCGTAGCACTCGACCGACCAAAACTTCCACATTTTTGCAGGACTTTCATGTTGAGGTGGCCCTCCCCTTCCCGTGTTGCTCCCACATCTTCCACAAGCATGGTCCAGTCATCAGGTACATCTCACCCCATATCTCGTTATTTATCTTATGACCATGTATCCCCCACTCACAAAACCTTTCTCACCACCCTCACCATTATCAAAGAACCCACCAGTTTTTCGCAAGCTGTTCAGGATCCAAAATGGCGTGAAGCCATGCAAAAAGAGATTGTTGCCCTTCATGACAATCGCACTTGGACTCTTGTGCCCTTACCACCTCACAAACATCCCATCGGTTGCAAATGGATCTATAAGGTGAAGCTTAAACCTGACGGCAGTGTTGAACGCTACAAAGCTCGTCTCGTTGCTAAAGGCTACAGTCAAATTGAGGGGCTTGATTATCGGGAAACTTTTGCTCCAGTTGCCAAGCTCACCACCGTCCGCGTCCTCCTGAGTATTGCCTCCATACGAGGCTGGCATCTTCATCAACTTGATGTGAACAACACATTTTTGCATGGTGACTTATACGAGGAGGTTTATATGTCCTTGGCTCCTGGGTTCGGACGAAAGGGGGAGACACGAGTATGCAAATTACACAAATCCATTTATGGTTTAAAACAGGCCTCGAGACAATGGTTTATCAAGCTGTCTAGTGCTCTTAAGACTGCTGGTTTTCATCAATCATGGTCAGATTACTCATTGTTCGTCCGAAACTGTCAAGGCAGTTTTATGGCATTACTTGTGTATGTTGATGACGTGATACTTGCAGGTAACAATTTGAGAGATTTTGAAGAGACTAAACTCTTCCTTTCCCAACATTTTAAACTAAAGGATTTGGGAAAACTCAAATACTTTTTGGGGATAGAAGTTGCAAGATCTAAACAAGGGATTGCCTTGTGCCAACGCAAATATGCGTTGGAGATACTAGAAGATGCTGGGTTCCTTGGTGCGAAGCCCTCACGATTACCAATGGAACCAAACCTGTCCCTTACACAAACTGATGGGACGCTCCTACATGATCCTTCTTCATACAGGCGACTCGTAGGGAGGCTGATTTACTTAACCATCACGCGGCCTAACCTGACTTATGTGGTTAATATGTTGAGCCAATTCATGGACAAGCCACGACAACCACACCTTGAAGCGGTGCATAAGGTTCTCAGGTACATCAAACAATCTCCTGGACAGGGAATTATTTTGCCTTCTACAGGTTCACTACAATTACAAGCCTTTTGTGATGCTGATTGGGCTAGGTGTAAAGACACTAGAAGGTCAATAACCGGTTATTGTATCTTCCTTGGACAAGCACCGATATCTTGGAAAACGAAGAAACAAAGCACAATATCTCGTTCTAGTGCAGAGCCAGAATACCGTTCTATGGCTACTACTTGTTGTGAAGTTATATGGCTAAGAAACATTTTGAAGGACTTGCAAGTAAATCATGCACAACCAGTCACAATGTTTTGTGATAATCAAGCTGCCATGCACATTGCTTCGAACCCAGTGTTTCATGAACGAACGAAGCATATAGAGATAGACTGTCACCTAGTACGTGAGAAGATTCAAATGGGAATGGTGCAAACAGCTTACATACGGACCTCGAATCAACCTGCAGACTTGTTCACCAAACCACTAAGCTCGGCACAATTTGAGGTCTTAATTAGCAAGTTGGGTGTCATCGACATTCACACTCCAACTTGAGGGGGAGTGTTAAAATGCATGAAATAAACATGTTGGAATAATGGTGAAATTAGGCTAGTCAACTTTCTTGTTCAAAGTTAGGCAAGTTAGGTTAGTCAAGCAAGATAGGTAAGTTAGGCAAAATTAGGCTTATGATCTTTCTCTTCCCTATATATATGTTTCATCTTGTAATTGTTTCTTCAAGCAAATATACATCAAAATTCAATAGTTCCCTTTTTGGCAGTCTTATGGTAAGGACACCATTGCCAAAACTTGCATGAATATCCTTAGTGTTATAAACATTGCAAGGAAGTTTGAATTTTTGGCGGAAGCCGCTCCATCTACTTCCACCCTTAGGACGTTGGCCTTCAATCTTTATTGTTCCTTTGTTGTCGTTCAAGAATAGCTTGAATTGTTCCATCTTGAAACCTACCAACCAAAAAATACAGAAAAGAAAATATGTAAAAAAAAAAAAAAATTCACAAAACAAAGAACATGAAAAAGAAGAATACCATGGAAAGGAATCTGGTAAGTGTCGAATCGTTCCTCTTTTAGGAACTTGCAATAAGGCATAAAATCCTCGTAAGAATGTATAATGTTCACTTCCTCGATCTTCTTGTATAGCTTGCTCGAGAGAGTAGTCTCCTCAGCCTTCAGATCACAAAGTTGTTCCTCCAATTTCTGGATCTCGGCAGCTACCACTATTATCCGATCTTTCATGGTCGAGCCCTCCTCCACCAGCTGCTGCAAAGTAGTGGAGGTCCAAGTGTGCTTCTCCTTGTAGCATCTCACCTTGTTGGCTTGCCTCTCAGCCTTAAGATGTTGATCCCTCAAGGCCCTTAGATTTTTAAAGAAGGAAATGAAGGACTCATATTGCACCTTAGTCATCTGCTGGGCTTGGTATAATTCAGTGAGAGCTCTCTCAGCAGCTTGAAGAGCCTTAAGGCTAAAGGAGGCAGAAAAGTCCATCTGCATAAATTCTTTGAAGATCCTGCACTGATCTTGAAGATGTTGAGGCTCAGAAGGGCACCTTGGGGATTGCAACTTCGTCCTAATTTGCCCGAATTCTCTAACTAGTTCATGCAAATAGGTCGTGGCTGGGAGAGAAGCCATAAGAGGAGGCATCACGCTAGCACCACAAGAAGCAACAGCAGCAGCGGCAACCTCAGCGGGAAAAGAATGAGAGGATTCAGCAGCAAGCTGAGAAAAACTGCCGGAGCCCTCACCAGTGGCTTGTTAAAACGCAGAGAAGACAAATTAATGGAGCAATATTGATCCGAATTAGGAAAAGACAAGATTGAGAGTACGTTTGTACCTAAGAAGGGCCTTGTGCTTTGGGAGGAGGATGTGTTGATGTAGCTGGTCTAGCTTGGGCCCTCCCCTCAGGCTCAAAATCAGAAGATTCTACAACAAAAGATCTCGGCCAACGAAGAGAAGATCTTGCCCGACATGGTCTTTGCTTCTGACTCATATTCACCATTGGAATCCATGTGATAATCAGTCAGCTAGCTGCTTTTCTAGGTTTTTGGCTCTGTCATAGGCATATAAAATATATAGCTTGATCATTTACAGGTTTCTTGTAGGCTTGGTCAATCTACAAAGATCGAGAATGTTCTTTAGTTTGTCTAACATCCTAACCTTTATATCTTGCCTAATTTCTGTCTTTGCATTTCTTTAAAACAACGCATGCACAGAATCTTAGCTAGTTGATGCCTTTCTAACTTTTTTGTAGTTCAATATAAGTGTATTCAGCTTCAAGGGAGCTGACGATTGTATCGATCATTATTTCCAATGTGTGCGTATTTGCAATCCTAAGCATCTATGTCCTTTAAATACAGGCTTTGTGTTCAAGGTGAAAGGAACTGGGTTCAAGGCATGTGTTAAACCAACGGCAAATGATCAACCACCACTTACCTCTGGAAGCGACAGAATAGAGCTAAAGACTCCTGGAAACAAATGGTACATTTGTGCAGCTGACAACCACTGTGATTTGGGACAGAAGCTTGTTATTACTGTTATGGACACCGCACCCGCATCTCCTCCATCCTCCGCCGTTTGCGGGATCATCTTTTCTGGATACCAAGTCTTCGCCGCGGCCGTCGTTGGAGTCTTCCTTGCTATTGCAGCCTGGTGCACATATCGATCGACACATACAATATGCATAAATACACCAAAAGACAAGAATATGTATAACATATGTGTTGTTCTTATAAATTTAATTTTGTGCAACATAGACTAGAATTTAATTCTGTATTAGAAGCTAGCATGTTGATGCAATTGCTCAATCAGAGAGAGTCTGCTCTTCTATCATCAATCCAAATTTATTATTGATTAAAATTTAATAACATTTTTGCATCTGCGCTAGTTAAATACGTATTGGCGCTATTTGTTTTGATCTACACATTGGGAGGGAAGGTGAGGAAAAAAAAGAGATGGGATAGAGGAAAAAAAAGAGATGGGATAGAGGAAAAAAAAGAGATGGGATAATCCACTCCTAAATCATATTCATCATCTAAAGATTGCCACTGGCCCACTGCTAACACCTACAACAACGTACATTTCTCAAAGCCTGAATGCTCCAAGGCGAATAATAGTAAGGAAATAAAACAAAATATTCCTCATTTCACAATTATATAATGAAAAAAATAAATGATCCGGTATTTAATAGAAAAAAGTATCAGTGCCATTTAATTTGAATGCTAAACTATAATGCGATAAAGTTCAACTATAATATACTACTTTAACAGATTCAGCGGGCTTCTGTGGGGGATGGTGCTCGGGCATGGAACCCTTCCCCACCCGGAGTCATTAAGGTAAATGTGGATGCCAGCTGGAAGCGGATTGATGGGTGCTGCCACATTGAGGTTGTCATTAGGGACTCTGGTTCTCGGTGCTTGGAGGAGGATCAGAGCCCCTTCGGTTCTTATGGCGGAGGTGCGAGGAGTGCTGGACGGTTGCATCATGGTGCGGCGGCGAGGATACTCCCGTATTGTGGTTGAATCGGATTCAAAGGAGATTATCACTTGGTTGAACGGATGTATCGAGCAGGGTTCATGGCAAGTTTTTTCTGTTTCGTGTGAGATCAGTAAGGAGGGGAGGATGTTCTCCTCATGTGATTGGTCAGAAGACCCCCATCTTCGTTTGTCCGTGTTCTTAACAAAGATGGGCTCCCATGCCCTCCGCATTAGCACTTGATTCGGTAGAAGTAAGGGTAACATGGTGATGTAATGTGTCTTGTTTTCTGTCCCTTTTTCTACTGCTTGTCTGTTGTTGTTGGCCATCTTGGCTTTCTATTCTCTATTGGCTTCGGCTGGTTAATGATATTTTCCAGTTCACCAAAAAAAAAAAAAAAAGTACCAATACTCTGTTTCTTAAAATTACCGTATAGAATTTCCCAAAACAGATGGTCCTAAAAAACTTCATTCTTTTTACAACGTTGAGTATTCATGTACAAACAACTTATTCATATTTGTTAATTATACCTCAAAATTTTCAGCCTTCATGAATAAGAATGAAATTGTATTTACTTGCAAGTGCATTGTGATTATTTTTTACGGAAAGTAGCAATGATGAGTATAAAAACATATAGCCGACTTATTCTGCTTTATACCTCACATTGGAGAGGTTCTTGGGCAAGAAAACTGGGTTAGAGGATTGTGAAAGGGGGAGAGACCAAAAATGGGTCAGTGTAGCATGACAAATCAGAGAGACTAGAGTAAGTTGTGTTTTTTGTGTCTGGATCTGCACGGACACGTGATCTGGTTGTCGGACTCCAGAATTTCTCATAACATTAGCAGTCCCATAGGTTAATTGAATATGGGCACAAATAAAAGAGAAGAATAGGAATGAGCGCATTTGTATACACATGAGTAAGTTCAATCTTAACAAACCCTAGAACAAATTCAAATTACAATTGACTTTTAATTAATGCTTCTCAGCAGCATGCGTAGATGGCAAGTGTTTTAGGATTACATAACCTCCAACGGCCACGCCCACAGCAACAAGTGCAATTGATCCGAGGATTCCTCTTTTGCTGATTTTCAGCCTGAAAAGCTTACCGTTGTAGACAAATAGATCAGACTTATCGTCGGAATTCGAAATCATCAATGGTTCCCTTTTTGGCAGTATTATGGTAAGGACACCATTGCCAAAACTTGCATGAATATCCTTAGTGTTATAAACATTGCAAGGAAGTTTGAATTTTTGGCGGAAGCGGCTCCATCTGCTTCCACCCTTAGGACGTTGGCCTTCAATCTTTATTGTTCCTTTGTTGTCGTTCACAAATAGCTTGAATTGTTCCATCTTGAAACCTACCAACAAAAAAAAAAAAAAAAAAAAATATGTAAAAAAAAATCACAAAACAAAGAACATGAAAAAGAAGAATACCATGAAGAGGAATCTGGTAAATGTCGAATCGTTCCTCTTTTAGGAACTTGCAATAAGGCATAAAATCCTCGTAAGAACGTATAATGTTAACCACTTCACCGTTGGAATCCATGTGATAATCAGTCAGCTAGCTGCTTTTCTAGGTTTTTGGCTCTGTCTTAGGCATATAAAATATATAGCTTGATCATTTACAGGTTTCTTGTACTCTTGGTCGATCTACAAAAATCGAGAATGTTCTTTAGTTTGTCTAACATCCTAACCTATATGTCTTGCTTAATTTCTGTCTTTGCATTTCTTTAAAACAAGGCATGCACAGAATCTTAGCTAGCTGATGCCTTTCTAACTTTTGTGCAGTTCAATAGAAGTGTATTCAGCTTCAAGGAAGCTGACAATTGGATCGATCATCATTTCCAATGTGTACGTATTTGCAATCCTAAGCATGTATGTCCGTTAAATACAGGCTCTATTTCTAAACTTCCTCCTTAAGACTTTTTGGGTATTTACAGGACTCTGGCTGCGAAGGTATATGCTCTCAAACGCTAGCTACAAGCCCCTTGCTCTCCTTAGTAATACAAAGATGAAAAGATAGTCGCGGGTTGTTACAATAAATTCTCAGTGTCGGCACAAATGGAGTCAGCACCACCAAGTGATGCATAGCATAGCGGAGCCAAAGACATAGCTAATTCTATTTTTATACTTCCCCTTGGTTCTAAATTCTCATACAATTATTTGAACAAGATAAAAATATAATTTTTATTTCACAACAAATGAGCAAATACCACTACAAGGAAAATGAGCAACAGTTACCAAGACTAGTAGTTGTTTGATTGTTTTTGGTGTCGTAAAAATGATGTTATTAATGAAAGATATGTGGTAAAAGCTAAAAAGTACGTAATAGCACAGCACAATAGTGACTAATGCATTTTTTTCCAGTAAAATCTAAAAGTCAATCCAACTCTAGCATTGCTATCATGAGAAGTGACAATGAGGTAGCTTTATTTAAAAAAAGAAATTACAATCAATCAAGGAGGACATAAAGCCTAACCTGTCCATGGTAGCAGCCATAACAAAACAAACCCTCCAATAACTAATATAAGATATAACAAGACTAACAAAAATAATTTATCTAAAATGATAGTATGGAAACCTTACATAATCGCGATGATAATATGGCAATACAAAAGCAAACAGAGAATCTCACCAAACAAGACTAGTAAAATATACTTTTTTTATCACTGACTCACCTTTTCTCGTTGGTAACACATTATTATCCCGACAACATCGACCAATTAGTCTTTATTGGTTCTTTTTGTTTTGGTCAATATCCATATCTGGTTCATGGTTTCATTTTTTTTTTTTTTTTTTTTTGATCACGAAGACAACTTTCATTACAATAAAAACTAGTACATGGCCCAAAAAGGACAGGGCAAACAACTACAGGAAAAGTAAAAGGTCCAAACAAAATGAGAGCAACAACCGAAGATACAATGGGAGGCCCACACAAGCTTAGGCCCAAATGCAGCATAAAACAAACAATAAAAAATACTAATCTCTAGCAGCAATGACCATATTGTTGCCACTGTCACATCCTCGAAGAAAGGCAAACTCCGAACTAAGAAAGTAGACACCAGATCCAAGTTCCCTTCACGAACCCCTGCAAATATATACAAACAAAATAACATATGGGAAGAAGGTGAGACTAAGGGGTACATAAAATACCCAACACTTGGCCTCAATGGAGATCCAACATGCTGGTTGGGGGAAGGGAAGTGAGAGAGAGGGAAGTAGATCTAATATCCAATTTCTGATAAGAGCCCGCCGATCCAAGCACATGGTAGGATGGGGAT